CCCGCCCCTGCCGGTGGCCAGGCGGCGGCAGAGGCTGCACAGGACCAGGGAAGGGCGTTAAGAACTTGGTCAGGGTCATGAAAGAGATTGGATTTGAGGTCGGACCGGAGGCTGGCGGGAAAGAGAGGGTGAGGCTTTGGGATTGAAGCGCCAACTCAGCAAAAGGAGGGGGGGGGCCCTGAAGATTGAGCATATCAGGGCAAGGAGGTCAGGGATTTATCAACTCATGGAGGCATGGTTAAAGCGTCGTTTCAGAGAGGCTGATGGTTGGGCAGGACCCTTAAACGTGTGGACAGGAGTATGTAGAAGAGACCTGAAGGTGGCTGGGGCTTCCAGAGTTAACAAAGGGTGAGGTAGGAGAAAATAAGAAAATTGATAGGAGAGGGAGGAGCTAGACGGGGGCCCTAGAACAAGAGGTTGCTTGGAAGTGAGGGGCAGTGGACAAGACCAACACTAGAGAGGCAGAGATGAGTGGGTTTTGAGTACCATAGGGGTAGGGGGTAATGGATGCCTGAAGATGGCCAGGTAATTAGATGCAATTAAGACCTTTTGGGTCTAGCAGAAAAGGCCTTAAGGATATGGAGCTGGGAGGACCCCAGGCACCAACACACCAGGAGGCTACATCCCCCGAGGCCCTTGTTCCAGTCAACAAGGATGTTCAGGGCCTAGAGTCTTCAGCCCAGCACTGAGGAAATAACTGTTCAGAATAGAGCAGGTGTGCACAGAGTCAGAAAGTTGGCAGTGGGCTGTTTACTCCTCCTTTGTGAAAGCAGGTGGCGCAGGAGGGCAACAGAAGATGCACTAATGCGGACAAGTATCACATTTATTTCACAAACACTGGGTAAATGGGTGGAGATGTATGTAGGGGGCCCAGGGCACAACTGCATACACAGCTGTCAGCAACCCACTTCCCACAGGGAGGATCCACCAAGCAGTGCCTCCCAGTCGACAGGCAGTGAAAGGTGAGTGCAGAGAGAACCCTGAACATCAAGCTCCCTGAAAGGCTAAGGGGCACAGCTCCAGCTATCCGAGGAATATCACAAATAAATAAATTAATATCACTGATCATCTAGTCACCCATCTTCACTCTGGATGTCTGCAAAACAAGAAAAAGAGAAATCAGACAGAAACAGTGACAAATGACAGAAGTCAGACCTAGCAAACCCACAACTGCAGGCACAGACACAACAGATAGATAACTGGACCAGGATGGACACACTGTGACAGACAAATACAGATGAACAACAGTGAGACAGTCATAATTAGACTATGGGACAGACAGAGAAAACTGGTCACAAATCCACACAGTCATTGTCAGGCAAGACACACACAATTCAGACATGCTGTCCTACTTGACAGGCACATCACAGGCACAGATATCCACAGGTCCTAAAATGCTGAGTAAAACACAAGAGACATACTCATATAGACACAAACAAGACCCTAACCCAGTCTAGTCCCCAGGTAAGTATAGAAAGAAGACAGGAAGAAAATGACAAAAAAAAAAAAAGAAAGAAAACGACAGACAAGAGAAAGAGACTGATGAGAAAAAGATATATAGACACAAAACGGGAAAAACGACATGTGTCAATGACACTGGATCAGACAAAAAAATATAGTGTCAAAAGAAGAAAATCAGAAAATGAGAAGGAGATGGAAAGAACAGTTTGGGATTTCTATGGTTACAGGTAGAAAAGAGGGGTATTGCTACTCATCCAGAAAGACAGTGGAGCTGGTTGGGGGGCAAGAATACAGAGGATCTCTGGGGGGATTTAGCACCTGGAGAATTGCGACGATCACCCCAAAGAGGCCAATGGCGCTGCCAAAGATCTCCACGATGAGAATCTTTACAAAGAGGCTGGGATTCTGAGCATCAGCCAGGGCAGCCCCACTGCCCACGATGCCCACGCAGACTCCACAGAAGAGGTTACACAGGCCTACCGTAAGGCCAGCCCCAAACATGGAGTAGCCTGTAGGAATGGGGGAGGAGGGAGATTGAAGCTTACTCTGGCACAAGGGAGATGAAGATAAGGGCCCAACATGGACTAACAGGGCCAACCACCACCTTAACTCTGCAAAGCAAACCACAGTAGGCAAGAGAATATCAAAATGAAGAGTCTAAGCTGGGGTAGGGGCAGGAAGCAAGTGTGAAGCCCAGCTTTGTACCTTCACATACCCACCTACCTGCATGATAGTTTCGATGGCCGATGGCCTTGGGGTTAGTGGCACTGAAAGGCTAAGGGAAGCAGTAATCAGAAACTACTCCTTATGACACCACCACCCCCAATCTCTAAACATCAGGCAGAACACACTAGAATATGATGCCCACTGCCATCCGAGTCCTCCATACCTCAGCCATGTTGCTAATGACAATTGCCATGATGATGCCGTAGATGGCTACAGCCTCACAGAAGATGATGCTGGTGGTGGTAGTGGTGGGGGAGGGGAGTTGGAGAGATTAAGAGTTGGAAAAAAAAAAAAACAACCTTCCTCCCCAAAGAGTCCCCAGCAACCTTTCCACCCTCAACATCCTACCCCATCAGGAGGCTGGTCAGGAGCAGCATGTCAGGTCTAACAGACAGCTCCCAATGCATGTGAGTCTCACCATTCTCTGAGGGCTCTTATATTTACCTGACTAGGTTCTTAGTCTTGATCCTGGGGGCCTTCACTCCTCCCCCAATGATGGAGGATCCTGTAATATAGATGCCCCTGGTGGAAGGGTAGGAAAAGGGTGAGCAGAACCCCAGCTGTTACTACTCCCAAGATGACTAAGGACCCAATGACATCACCTCCCATGACTAGCCCCTCTCCCCAGCCCCACAACTCCAATACTCACCAAGCTGCCCCAACCACAGACAGGGAGATAGCTAGACCAATGCCCAGGTTCGACCACATGAAGGGGGAAGTCTCTGTAAGGAACCTGGTGTGGGGGCAGGGAGGAAAACAATTCAGGCCTGGGAACAGAGCACAAAATTCACAGCCTCCTTCCCCCACTCCAAGTCCTGGATTTTGAGACAACAAACTTCATTGAGTAAATGGAGGTGGGGAGATGAGGAGAACCTAGAGAAGGGAACTCAGACCAGAGAAAAGCAAAAACTGCAGAAAGGAAACTCCTAGGGGAATCCTATCTCTGCCCTCCCTTACCATGCCACATCAAAGCGGAAGCCCAAGTCAAATATGGTGTAGCAGATTCCTGTAGTGGTGAGAAAAAAAGGGTTAAGGGCTGCTCTCTAGAGAGAAGTTCCTCAACCTACATAAGGAGTTGCCCAGCTGAAAGGCCACCTCTTTAAAAGTCTGTTTATACCCAAGTCAGGGGGGAGTCCTCAGGCCCAATCCCAGGTGACAATGTGGCTGTCTATACAGATTCCTCTGCTCAGGCCTCCATTTCCAACCACTCCCTCAGTGCCATGTCTCCCTCAGTAACATCGTCTCCCAGACTGAGCCCCTCAGCAAGCACACCACCTGGCAGGCCTGAACCTAAGTAAAGGAGGGAGCAAGAGCCCTGGCAACCCCACCAGATCCTGCCGGCCCAGCCCGAACCGCTGTTTACCCAACAAGCTGGGGGCGGTGGAGCAAACGACCGGGAAGAGGAACTGGAGCAGCCGGCTCGTGACCCAAGAAGGCCGGTCAGAAGCAAGAAAAGAACGACAGCAGTGAGGCGGGGGAGAATGGCAATAATGACAAAAGGGACTAGCGCTCCTCCTGTGTGTCCCGACACCTGTTACCCGCGCCCCTCTATCAACAGCTGGAGATCTGAGTCTCCTCTGCGGGGTCAGCAGCCTTCTCTGGCGTGAAGCAAATCCCGAAGCCCGGAAGACAGAGCCCGCCCTACGGCCCAGTATCCCGGCACCCCATTTCCCCGCTAGGCTCCAGCCCTGACAGCACTACACCGATCTACCCCCGCCCCCCCTTTCCCATCCCGCCAGGGCCGGGCCTCACCCACGACAATCATGGAAGCCCAGAAAGCCACGGAGACCCCAGAGTAAAGAAGCGCGAGCCCCGTCATGGCGGCAACGACAGCGGGGATCCAGTCGGTGGGGCCAGAGCTAAAACCGCGTCCCCACGTCCACCGTCGACCCCGCAATCTCTCTGCCCGCCCTAAAGCATCACCTGATTCACCTACGTGAGGCGCCGGCACCACGTGACCACGCGCCGGGGCCTGCGCAGCGTCGCCGCCCCTCTCGAACATGGCGACGCTGGAACAGTAGGGCGCTGAGGATTATGGTTGTTGTAGGCGCCCGCCAAGGACGCAGCCCCGTAGTCCTCCTCCTAGTTCCGACTCTTACCAAGTACCTCGAATTCTGGCTAATTCCCCTCGTGCCTCTCTGAGCCTGCTCTTTCTCAGTCCCGGTACTCCACCTCGTTTTGGTCCACCAGTCCTGCTTTATACAGGGGTCTGTTCAGCCTCCTTAGCTTGGCCTCCACGCCGCTGCCTACCCCTCAGGCTGCCCTGTCTTCCTACCACTCTATTCTACCTAGTTCCACGAAGGTGCCATATTCTTTCTCAAGGTGTTTGTATTGTTTCCTCTGCCGGAGCACTCTTCTTCTTGCTCACCCCACTGCCTGGCTAACATCTACTGGTGCTTGGAAACCATTTCCCTCAGCAGCCTCCCCTAACCCAAAGTCAGGGTTGTGGGCCTGCTCTGGGCTCCCATGACCTTGGCAAGACCTGTAAAACTTGGCTATAAAACCTAGGTTATCTCACTCCCTTGTTTAAACTGGCTTCTCTTTCACTTAGAATAAAATCTAAAGTCCTTACAATGATCTACTCGGCCTCACCCTATGAGGGTACCCATTCCCCCATACCTCAACTTCATCCCTTACTCACCCCAACTTCAATAGTTGAACTGCCCTCCTTGCTAGTCCTTGACTATGCTAGCCATATCCCCACCTCAAGGCCCCTGCACTTGTCCTCTCCTTTCATCACCACCCCTAGCTCACTCCGTTAACTTCCTTTCAGTCTTTGCTCAAATGCTGTTGTTGTTGTTATGTGCCCTCAAGTCATAGCGACCCCTCCCTGTGTTTCCAAGGTAGCATCACTACAGAAGTAGATTGCCCAACCTTCCTTCCCAGGAGTGGCTGGTGGATTTGACCCGCCAGCCTTCTGGTTAGCAGTCAAGTGCCTTAGGCATTATGCTACCAGAGCTCCTTGCTCAAATAATACCTTTTCCAAAAGGTTTTCCCTATCGTATTTAATATTGAACCTCCGTTACAACATTCCCTATGCACCTTCCCAGCTATTTCTCCATAGTACTTATCACTATTTGGCATACTCAGTATTTTATATTGGTTACCTATCTTCTCCCATGAGAATTTAAGCACCGTGGAAGGATTTTCCTTGAGCTCACTGTTTATTTCCAGTTCCTGGTACACAAAGGGTGCTCAGTACATATTTACAGAATACATAACCAGTGCCCACCTTGTCCCAGTTACTATGGTCAGTTTACAGGTCTGTCTCTACCATGAGACTGGGTATCCCTGAGACAGAGACCACATTTCCCTTTTTCATCTTCATCCTCAAGAGGTATCTCTTCACTTAACCTCTCTCAAACCTTAGGGTCCAGCAACTTGACTTTACTTGAAGCATTCACACTGGTTCATACCTGTGTTTAAGCAGTGGCACTCTGCTAAAGTGTCCTTTTCACTCTCTTTCTCCCAACAATTATTCTTCCTTCAAGAGATACAGCTTAGGTGTCACCCTCTTTAGGAAGCCTCCTCTGGTGACGCAGTAGCTAAGGCATTTGGCTGCTAACCAAGTCAGCAGTTCAAACCCACCAGTCACTCTGCAGAAGAAGATGGGGTGATCTACTTCCACAAAGATTTACAGCCTTGGAAACCCAATGGGGGTTGCTATGAGTCGGAGTTGACCCGATGGCCGTGAGTTTGGTTTGGTTTTGGCCTCTGGGCTCCTACTATCCCAGGGGCTACTTGCCTTCTCAGACTGTACTGTTTCACTGTTTGCTAATAGCCTGTTTAACCATCTCTCCCCCAGCCACACTGTGAGGACAGGAATCAGGTCAAATTCAATTTACTGCTCTACATACAGATCTGTGGAGGAACTATAGTGTTTATTCATCAAACACTACAGGGAAAGTATCTGGTTTATTCAAGTTTCTGGGAACTCCCTGAGAAACAAATCAAGAGTCAGCGCCGGCCAGTGCTATCCAACAGAACTTTCTGTGATAATAGAAATGTTCCATAGCTATGCGGATCTCTCATGTAGCTATTTAAACACTGGGAATATTGACTAGTGACTGACAAACTGAATCACCAATTTTAACTTAAAACTTAAAATTAAGTTTAAATAACCATATATGTCTACTGGCTATGATATTGGACAGCGTAGGTCTATACCAGTGATTTGCAATTAGGGGGCAATTCTACCCCCACAGGGGGCATTTGTCAATGTCTTTGTGACATTTTTGGTTGTCACAACTGGAGGGGGAGAGGTTACTGGCACCTAGTTGGGAGAGGCCAAGGATGATGGTGAGCATCCTACAATACACAGGACAGCCCCTTTCAACAAAGAATTATCTGACCCAAACTGTTAACAGTGGTGAGGTTCAGAAACCCTGGTCTAGACCATCTAGTACCTGCCTCTTGATAAGGGCAGATCCTCAACTACAGTCCAGGAACTAGAACTGGCCAGAGGTCCTGGTCTACTCCCAGTAGGACAGATGAACTCCGAAGGCCACAGGGAAGCCCTAAGCCCTTTTTCCAAAGAGTTAATCAACAGGTATTTACTAAACCAATATGTGTTGAGTCTTGGACAGTGCTAGGACAAGAAAGAGCTGGCTCCTATAAAGGAGGGGTTGCCTGCCCTTTCTCTATCCAATCTTCTTCAAAGATCCTGGCAGGGGAGTGAGGGGATTGGTGCAGGAACACCAAAGGCTGTCGCAGTGATTCATTAGTCCATCTGTGTCTCTGGCCCCATATGGTTATTAGCTGTTTCCCTCATCCTCATAGGCAATGGCGATTCCTCGTCTTCCACTCACAGCTCCCGTCACTGGCGTCTGACCCAGGTGAGGCTCCAGCCCCTGCCAGGTCCGAGAACTAAGGAACAAAGCTGCAGGGGAAGAGGAGCTCAGGCTGAGTGGATTGAATCTGGGGCAAGAGTTCAGCAGGGGTGAAGACATGGCACACTCACCTGCAGGGCTGCTCTCAGCTAATTCTAGCTGGGGCCGAGAGGTCAGGGCTGAGCACCCAGGAGCATTTGATGGCTTCCAGGCAGGTGCAGGTCGGAGATCCCCAGTAATGAGTGACACATCTGGCATGTCCCACAGCTCCGAGTCAGGTGGTGGGAGGGGCACATGGAAGGGAGAGCCTGGAAAAGATGGACAAAGAAGATCCATATTGGCTCTCCCATCCGTACACTTCCAAGTGTTCCCAGTTCAAGTAGTGCCCCACCACTCACCTGGCAGCAAGTCTGCATAATGTGTGAGGTAAGGGGCCAGCCCGGGAGGTGGCCAGGCAGGGTTGCAGGCAACCTCCAGCTCACATGGTGCCAACACAGGTCGGAAGAAGCTACCTGAAGGCTGGGGGGCCAGGACACCAAGAGGACACGCCAAAAGCACAAAGACGTCCACTTCAGGGAAGTTGGCAAGCTTGGTGGGAGTGGGCCGCCCCAGGGCAAACACATAGCTACGCTTACCAGCAGCCTGTGTTAGGTTCCGAAAGTGTGCCAGGGCCTCACGGTAGCGGGCTACACCCAATGTGCCTGCCAATAACCCCACCACATGGGCATCTCTGGCCCGCTCCACCAGGTAGTATCTGCGTGCCCTTAGCTGCCCAGCCCGGGCAGTCTCATCCTGAGACCGCCCTGTGTCTGGGCAACAAGAGTAGAAGGGTTGCCCTGGTGCCCAGCCCAAGAGGAGTCGACTCAGGTCTGGATCAAGGTCAGGGCCAGAGCTGGCCCCAGAGCCTCCCACATAGAAGGCACCATACTCCTCCAGGCACCTTCCTGGGGCCAAGGGGAAGCGGCGTCCAAAACACTCCAGTGGTTCAGGCTCTGAAATGAGGAATCCTGTTGGCAAGGGAAGAGCTGGGCTGGAGACAAGAAGGTCCAGGTACCGGGGGTACAGGAGAGTAGCCAAGGCCTCTATGGGAGAAGGAACTTGTGTCAGGGGTAGGGTCTGGCAAAGTAGGAGCCCCTCCATCCCCAGGAGACTGAATGTAGCCCAAAGGTAAAGAGTGAAGCCAATCCCATATCAAGAGCTCTATGTGAGTAGTATACTAAAAAGGGAGAAATTAAGACACACAGCAGCTGACCCACCCTTCCTGCATGCATGATCTCTCACCCAGGGCATGGGAGCAGGCTGGCTCACTCAACAGCACCACAGGTGCTGTGGGATCCGGGTACAGGGCCTCAAAGGCCTTGGCACAGAGCTCCAAAGCCACAGAACGTTGACCAAGGACGAAGGTAACAGGCAGAGGGCGGGCTAGAGGGCTCAAGCAAGCGGGGCCAAAATGTACAAGAGCCTGAGCTCCAGCTTGCTCAGCACCCAACACATCCACACAGCAGCTGCAGGGAAGAGACCATCAGTGAGAATAGTTCCTATTAGGAAGAGAATTGCTGTTACCAATGGGAGACATAATCAGTGAAAGAAAGACACCGATTACATAAGAAAGCTAAGTCAGAAGGCAATCGTCATCACCAAGTAAAAAACAAACATTGGGGGGCAGACTTCAAGGGGAGCCCTGGATCCCTAGGCCTGCCTCACCCCAATCCTCAAGTCCAAGTTCACACCTGCCATAGGACGTGTCTCCCAGAATGAACATCTTTGACCCTGTGACCTCCTCCAGTCGTGCAGCCACGGCCCCAGCATCTCCCAGTAGTCCATCAGGGAACTGCAAGGCCACCTGTAAGCATAAACCAAAGGGTCAGGATGGCCTCTTCCCCTCCCCAACCCCTAGGCGCTCTTTACTGGGAAGACGCTATCCGATCTTCCGACCTTCAAATTCAAATCCCCTCCTCCAGAGCACCCACCCAGAAATCCTCATTTTCACAAGATCCCCATTCTCAGGAAGACCCAACATCAGAGATATGAACCACCCCTTCCAGGCCTGTCCTCACCCGCTGACACCCCACATCGCGAAGAAATCCAACGACTCGCTCCAGCTCATACACTCGGTCCAAGTCCTCATGAGGAGTAAGCAGCCCTGCGGCGTCCGCCTCTCGCTGTAGCGCCGCCTCCGCGGGGCTGCAGAACGTAGACTCCATGGGGGACAGCTTGAGGGTGGGATACTGCCGAGACCTCCCTCTCTCGGTCAGCTTCAGGCCCCACGTCCTCAAAACAGCCCTCACTGGGTCAAGTAGCGTCGGCAGAGGGGGCCAAAGTTTGGGACAACCCGCTCGCCACCCACCCAAACACTCGTTTGCCTACTACACATGGGCCTATCTGGGGAAATCATTTCCGGGTTTTTGAGGCGGGGCTGATAGCTAGCTTACCAATCCTAAACCAGCACTGTCCCCGCCCTCCAATCCTCGCCACCAAGCCACGCACAAAGAACCAATGATCTGCCTCAGAGTTCGACGCCATTGTAAGTGCCCCGGAGGAAGGCGCGGTGCCTTGTGGGCGTTGCAGTCCTCTCGGGGCTCCTCAGGGCGCTGGAAGTTTTCCGGTTCGGCGGGCCTCTGATCCTCACGGACACCTGCGACTCTCTGGAAAAAACTGCTCCCATTTGAGGAGCTCCTATCCGCCGAACACTATTAAACACTTAATGCGCACTTATTATCTGGGACGTAGCACTGAATAATTTTCAAGTCAAGTGCTAAATTGCCTGGGTTTGAACAATGATTGGTTTGGCCACTTAGTTACTGTCTTAGAAAAATTACTTAACCTCTCTGTGATCGTTTGCTTATCTGCAGAATAGGAGTTGTAAAAGTAGTACCTCTTAGGAGGACTGTTGTGAGGATCCTATTAATTTATATATAAAACTTTACAAGATAGTCCTTCTTGTATCACACATACTGAAAACATTTGCTACTACACTCACAGCAGTCTACCAGGCAGTGAGCACTTACTGCTCACCAGGCTTCACACTCTTGTAGCTTAGTCTCCGGTGCAAGATTCATCCTAATTTACAGATGAGACTTATCCTACTTTACCAAGATGTTAACTACCCATCTGGGCAGACACAGCAAGGCAGTGGCACAATCAGTATCAAACCCAGGTCTATCTGATTTCAGAAACTGGGCTTTAGACCTCTCGTTGTCCTAGCTTATATATGCTACATTCAGTGGCAGGAAGGGAGGAGACACCCAGATACCATGCAGTGTGAGCAAAGGACTAGAAGAAGTATGTGAAACATCTCCACATATCTCAGAAGAAATGATAAATTAAGAGTAAAGTGAGACTGACGAGACCTCCGAAACTAGCCCCTAGGGACCATTCAGGTCTGGAACTGAACCCCCATGGCTTCCAGCCAAATAATAGACAGGCATATACAGGGTGAACATTTACATCAGGTAGATACACTCCTTAGAATGATCAGTCATGGGAGAACAGAAGATCAGTATTTACACAGGGAGATAGCTCAGGGAGCAGGACTGCATAGAAGAGGACACAGGGAAGAGATCACTACAGGGAGGACGTGGTAAGAGAGCTGTTACATTGTAGGGAATTGCAGTCAATTGCATGAAACAAAATGTGTATGAACTGCTGTATGGAAAATGAATTTGCTTTGTAAACTTTCACCCAAATCACAATTAAAAAAAAGTAAAGTGAGAATGGGACTCAGGAGGGTTAGAGGAAGTGGGACACAGTGGTTTCAGGGGATGGCAGATGGCAGAGGGGAACAGAAGCTGGATGGCATGGGAGAAGTTGAGCCAAGAGGAAGAGTGGAGGTCACGGAATTTGTAGAAAGGTTGCGAAAGGAATAGGAATGGGATGAATGTGGGAGTAACTAGCTCCCCCCTCCACATGCAGAGATTCAAGACTCAAAGGTAGAAGTGGGGAGAACCCAGTTCTCCTCTTCAGGACGAAAGTGGCTGAGAGGTAGGTGAAATTATGGCCAAGGAGACAGAAAGGGAGACAACCCTTCTAAGGAATGAGAGCAGCAAGCGTTCAGGAGCTGTCCCTGGTACTGACCAAGCCTATTCCATGTTGGATAGAGGTAGGGAGCCAAGGGCTACACAAACAACACTAACTCTTGCCTTCTTCCTCTGGTGCCCATGATGCCTCCCCCATTCCCAAACTCAACTCCATTTTCTATAGCTCTCCTCAGGAGCTCTGGTAGCATAATGCCTAAGGGACTTGACTGCTAATCAGAAGGCTGGCAGTTCAAACCCACCAGCCACTCCTCGGAAGGAAGGTTGGGCAATTTACTTCCATAGTGATACTGCCTTGGAAACCCAAGGAGGGGTGGTTATGAGTCGGGTCCGACTTGACGGCACATAACAACAACAACAACATAGCTCTCCTCAGCCATGTGCAAGTGTGGATTCCTCTACAATCCCTTACTAGAAACCCATTCTGTACTTCAAGCTCTGCTCCATTTCTCCTCTCCCAACTGGACCCAGCTCCACCCCACTTCCAGCCCAGGTGTTGACACAGGCCTTTGCCTCTACCTAAAAAACCTCCAAATCCCATCAGAAATTAAATTCCTCCATGCAGCCTTTCCTCAGAGGTCCCATTCTCTCAACTTAGCACGGTAGCTATGGGCGAGATCAGCCTTTGTTCAGGGCAGAACAAGGCAGGGCAGGACTAGGGACCTAGTACAATTACTGGACGGATGCATGCATGCCCACACTTTGGGACTAATTTAATGGGGGAAAGATGGCTGATCTTACTACTGTTGCCCCCCCCCCCCGGGCAACAGTGGTATTCTGACCAGTTCTAGTAGCCTAGGCAGCTTGGCTACAGAGTGCCTCTTCTACTGCAGGAACCAGAGAGTACCCCTCCCTACCAAGCCTGACACCCCGCCTCCTCCTATCTACCCCACTGGCCTTCTGGAGTCACCCAGTTAGGTGCTGGTGGCAGCAGAAAGAAAACAGAGGCAGTAGTGAGGATCCAGGTTTACTCTTTGGGTAAGGAGATGGGCGAGGAGGGGTAGGTGCATGGGGCATGCCCCTCAGTAGTCAGCTGTGTAGTCTGTGCCATGTAGCCCCCGGCACAGCAGTGTGAACTCCTTTACCATCTCCTTCACCCGCCTCTTGTTCACTCGCTCACTGAAGGAGGGAAGGGAAAGCAGATTAGCACTATCTACTACCTCCACCTCCTCCTCCTTTCTACCCTGAGCCCAAGCCCACCCAAGCTGTGCTCACCGAAGGATCTGCTGGCTGAAACTGTCTTTCTGTTCAGGGCTGAGGCGGGCAGAGGGAAAACCAGGTGGCTGCAGTGCCTCCTTAATCCACATACTCAGAAGGCTGAAGCAGTGTTTGTTCAGGGCGAACAGGATGTCGGCAAAGCAATCCATGAGGCTGCGGGAGGCCTGGCCCCCAATAGCCTGAGGGAGAAGGGCTCTCAGCACCACCAGGGCCCCTTCCTTCTGCAGCAAGGTGCCTGGCCACACACCATGCCCTCCTGAATGGTTCCCCAGCCAAACTGGACATGATGAGTGCTGCTTCTTGAGAGCCAGCTGATCCTCGTAGCGACCCAAATAACTCAGCCATTTAATCAAGGAAGAAACAGGGGATCAGGGAGTTTAGGGAGCCAAGGTCGTGCATTTCCCAGAAAGCCAGCTGCCTCAACAGGGAGGGCCACCTCCAATCCCATCCCACTCCTCCTACTCTCTCTTACCTCTAGCACTGCTATAAGCAGCATACGGCCATCCTCTTGTACCACCTTTCCCACAGGTTCAACTTCCCCACACCGAGGCAGCAGCTCTGTCTACAGAGGATGGAGAGGTCCATCAGCCCCTGCTCCTTCCCACCTCACCCGAAGAATAAGACCTGAGCTCTGGTAGCGTAGTGCCTAAGGCACTTGACTGATAACCAGAAGGCTGGTGGTTCAAACACACCAGCCACTCCTCAGAAAGAAGGTTGGGCCATCTACTTCTGTAATGATATCGCCTCGGAAACCCAAGGAGGGGTTGTTATGAGTTGTTGCACGTAACAACAACAGCAACACACCCCTACCCTCTAGAGTCCTGTGTAGGGCAGGGCTAGGTATGGAGGTGGCGGGGGTCAGCAAAGGACTCACAAAGAAGCCACAGGAGGCCTTGACCGTAGGTGCCTCAGGGAACTTGAGGGCCAGCACAGCTGTGGAAGAGACAGAGGCAGATCAGATGGGACCAGAGGATCCAGGGGTTGGGGAAGCCCAGGCCCACCTGTCCACCTGCCCCACTTACCACATTGGAATATAGCTTTGACATCCAATCGTTCACACAGGAACAAATCTGGCTTCCGTTTCAGAGCCTGCAGGAGGTGGAGCTGGTAAGCCCAGCCCCAGCCAGCTCCAAGGGCCATCCCCCCACTCACCTGCCACTCTAGACCCCAAGTCTATGTATCACAGGTGGAGGCTGCCAAAATCAGCCACCTAGCCATTTCTGGAGAACCCAGACCACCCCAGAGTCCAGTAGGTCAGAAGAGGAGCAGCCCAAGTGATACTATGTATATGTTTGTATACATGAATGCACAGGTTTATGTTAGAGAAGTTGGGGCAGGGGGTCACAATGCAAAAATCTTAGGCAGCAAGTCACTCCTGAGCAAAAAGCTCCTCTGCCCCACCACTCAAGCAGGGCTGGACCTCCTGCAGGCTCCAGGTAGCTAGCAGTGACTTCATCTTGATTCGCAAAGGCAGATGAGGCCTCCCAGGTTGGTTAAAGGAGCAGCAGGCAGAAGAGATAGCAGTTGGACACAGAGCTCCCAGTCCATCAGTCCCCCCTCCCATGTCCCACCTGCATTCCTCAGGTACCCTCCAGTTGCTGCTCAGGAAGAGGGAAGGTAGGGTAGGAGCCCTGGATCCACAGCCCCACCTTTTACCCAGGACACCCTATGTCCAGGTCCTTCTCAGCCAGATTAACCCCAAGAGCCAGTGCTGCCATGTGTCTGGGGAACAGTTGGAGTAAAGGGAGCAGATGGTCCACCCCAAGTGGTACCAGGACAGGACTAGCAAACCCTCGGGTCACAGGAGACACTCTGCACAGCTCTAGCAGTCTTCAAACACTGCCCTTCCCCAGCACCCCTCCAATGCATAACACAAAGACCCCTAACACTCCAACCCCTCACATACCTTCCATTCCCATGTTCACTCATGTGCAAACATCCCCACGTGTACC